GTTCATTTACTTTCATGTACATCAGCCCAGATTTCTGTCTTGATCACGTTTAGTTCTGATTAACATTAGTGTAGTGTATCGACATTTGAACTCAAACTCATTTTTACTTTAAAACACGCTGTTTTTGCTCAGATCTTTGCATGTAATCATACGTTTTTGTGCTGCAGAAAAAAAGCTAGTTGACTGCAATGCAGATTAACAAAGAGAAATGTGATAATTCTTTCATGGATTTTATTTGAATAATAATTTTATCTGAATAAGATCTGTGTAAAGATGCATCTCTAGGATGCACTTTGGCATGTTAAAGTCAGTTTTCAGTCCAGTGTTGTTACAGGTAATGTATCAAAGAAATTTAAAACCCTCATTTGGAAAAAAATAATAAAAATCAAATGAGCAAAATAACAAATTCAAATAATGAGAGAAAAAACAATGCACAAGTACATGATGCTACAGAAAAAAATAGAGAAGAGTCCTTCATTTTATCATTTGAAATGATGAATACTGATGCTGTCAGGAGCTGGAGAGTCCAGAAGAGACTTTAATGTTCTGTGGTTTACAAGAGAGAAACAAGATTAATTAATAAAGTCACACATGCTCTTCAATATTACCGAAACTGATGGACTTCATTGAGTCTGTTCATAATCTTACATCATGTGTGATCTTCTGTGGTTCATGAGAGCAGTTCTTCACAGGTGTGTGTGGATCAGCAGAGACTGGGAATAAAACACACAGCGGTTATCTTCATTTAGATAGAGTACACGGACTGATGCTGAAGATCAGAAACACACAGACACTAGTATAGGAAATAATGAGGTTATGATGAAGATTTTAAGCTGATAAACTGGAGGAATGTTGTACATTGTGCATTTAAAGGTAATATTTGGCTTACAATTTGGCCTTATATCATAGCAGCTGCTCCATCTGACGAGCTCCATGTTTCACTGGTTTGTCTCTTCATCTCTCTCCATGTGTTTACTCTTAATTTCCATCTAATTTGAGCAACAAAAATGGATATCAATGCTCTCCCTTGAATGAAATTGCAACATAGCTGCAATTTATGTTTAAAAACGTATCTGAATATGTTAAAAACAAAGTGTTTGGTTTAGAAGGCAAGTGAATGTGATCTCATAGACTGCATCCAGCACTTTCAATTTCATTTATTTTTATTTATTTTTAAATGACTAAAAATGCCATTATTTTATATGATAATGGTAATCATTGTATTTTGTATATTGTATTAGAACTGTTTTATTATTATTTTTTTTTTTAAGTTTAAAGTTTTAGTTTAATGCAGACTTACGAGGTACATGAGACGTCCACAACAGCCTTCAGTGATCACACAGAGACTCACAGCAGCAATCACAGAGCAAGACGCTTTAGGATGAGTGTCGCAAGCTGCCTCTTTATATAGCTTTATAGAAGACGTCACACCATCCTGAGGAGTTCTGCTACAGAACAAAAGCGGAACCATGTAGTCTTTCACTTCTTCTTAAATGCTAAACACTATGCAGAACTGATGCAGCAACTTGTCAGCAATATTGTCAGCTACCATACTGTAGTTGTCTAACTGGCAAAATATTAATCAAATTCATGTATGCTTAATCTATTATTTTATTTTATTAGGAGGGGTAGCTATAAGATGAATGTGTGTTACGTTTGTTCATATAGCCTGATAAATTTACAGTATGTTACTATACTCTATAAATGGTTAGAGGCTGACACGTAGTATAATTAGCTTCAGAAGATACAGAAATATGAACTGAAAATACCTTTTTTTTAAATGACTTTTTGACATGAATTTCACTGTAATAAATCTGTATTGCATTCCAGGAAAGTTTAACACTGGTTCACACTTCTAAACACTTATCAAATAAACATGAATAAACTCCTTGTGTTTTCTTTCTCTTTCTATGATCAAAGTTCAGATGGGAAATGTGTTTTGCTTGAGGTGCACATGATCACTCTCTCTCTCTCTCATATGCAGGGATCTAATGTCTCTGGATAAGATCAGACATGAGCTGCTCATGTCAGGCAACGCAAATGCTGTTGAAACCCTTTTGTTGTAGGATTGAGAACTATAGAAAAATCACAGATACATATGCATAAATAACATACTAAAACAATAAATGAGAAATATAGCAACGCACACCAAAGCAAAATGCATCACTATGCAGTCACCCGGACTGAATGAACAGCTACAACATGCTCAGACACTGATTATGGATTAATGTAGAAAAACAATTGTGCTACTAAATGATCCAGTCATTAAAGATTTGTTTGTTTGCACTGGAAATATTAACCACAGCCCGGTTCACATTTAATGTCACAGTAAAATCCTGGATGTCTCTCTAGTCCTAAAACTGTGCAGTGTGTAAAACAAATACTCTACAGAAGACAAGATGATATTATCATGCTGTGAGAAAAGCCTATGTGAGTTCTGACTGCAAACACGATGAGAAAAGATGAGAATGAGAGAACTACCCTTACGAAAAAGAAGTTTATTCAAGTGTGCTAT